TATTCTATTCTATTCTATTCTATTCTATTCTATTCTATTCTATTCTATTCTATTCTAGAGAAAAGCTGTTAGATATTATTTTCCTTATTTCAGGAAGTCTAAGTGTAACCGTCTCATTCCGCTGATTATTTCATTTAATTTGAGGTTGAATCTTCTGAAACAAAGTGAAATAATCTAACAGTGCAGTAAGACACTCTCACTCACTCCCCTGTGCAAAGTACATTCATAACATTTATATTCAAGTTCATAGGTTTAATATTTCAGGATTCATTTATTGTCATCTGCAGGTTAACACAAGTCAACAATGCAATGAAATTCTTAGGATGAGAAGAAACCATCCAACTCGCTATAAAACAAAAGAACAGGAAATTCATGTAGCTTGCAGTAGCTGCACAGAAAATAAAAAAAAGTTTAGGGGTAATAAGTACAATGTAAAGTGAATTTGGTGAACAACTAATAATAACAGAAATAACAACAAAAAAAATAACAGTGCAGGCAGGGTGAAATGCACAGAGTATTTCACCATTGAAAATATTGGTTGATTGTATTTAAAAATATGTGTATTGCACACATGTAAATATGGTATATGTGGTATATTATTGCACAGGTAAGAGTAACAAGTTTTTATACTTTATCAAGAAGTATTTATACAGTGGTTGATAACAGTTCTGTGAGGGATTCTTAAGTTCATGAGTAAAAAATTCAGAGAATTAAAGATTTTAGTAAAATCAAGACTATTTCATCCAGAAAGAATTCTGGTTAGCTCCCTCATTTGAACCACATCAACTTTTTTGACCCTGTCTCTAAAAAAGAATCGTGAATCGTTTGGAACAGGAAACGTACAAATTCAAACAATGCCCAACCTTAATTTTAATGCATTACTTCAAACATTTCTAATCCTTTAATATAAAGATAAGCATAAATTCACTACACTTATTTCCATAAGCAGAACCTGATTTGGACTCCTGAGTGCCTCTGATGTTTCATAATAATCAATAAAACATTAAAACTTGTCTCTATTTCTGCTGGAACAGAGAAGMACAGCTCTCAGCCGCTCCTCTTCCTCACCTGTTGTTTACAAATAAACAGTGTGGGAGGAGTCAGGCGTCTGTGTCGGGTGGGGATCGTACCTGGAGTGCCCTGCTGGAGAAGCTTGTTGAGATCCAGAGACGAGGCTCTGGAGTGGGTTTTCTGCGGGCGAGGAGGTGGGGTGGGCGGTTCCTCCGCCTTCTTCATGGCATCTTCAATAGACGTGCTGGAGTAAGACCTGGACGACAAAGATCATGCTGGTGATGCTCTGTGTTAGAGCAGGTCATTATGTGACAAAACAAGGCTCCGTTTTTCACCTGGGTCTGGTTTTTGTCCTCATCTGTGAGTCTAACTCGTGCAGCAGCTCTGCTAAAGAGAAAACATGAAATAATGACCAGAAGCATCAGACTCTGTGTTTACGTTGAGTTAAAAATGAGAAACAACTACTTCCCTTTAGCKCATTTCAGCTCACTCAACACATTTACATCCCAGCCGTTTTCCCTCCTACCTCTACTGTCAACYAATGACATGCTTTAAATACACTTCTAAACTAAAGAAAAAAACAACAAGTAATGTTTACATCTAAACAACTTTACAAACAAACCATTTTTAAAGAAGTAAAAAGAGGAAACTTTTTTCAGTTTAGAATCTGAAACTTCAGATGTCTGCAAGAACAGAGACGGCTCGGAGTTTCTCACATTAAAAAAMAAGTTTCATTTTCACCTGGCCTCTCAGGAAACTCTCCCAGCTGTAGAGTCTGCTTGTCCTGAGCCGAGCTTTTCACACCCAAATCTGCAGAAACATACAAAATCCTGACTGATCCACTGAGAAAAGGACAGGATTTATTTTACTTCAGCTCTGTAAAAACTCCCAGCCGTTGTTTCGGTTTATTTTTTTTCCAGAAATTCCTCACCGTCCAGGATGGAAGGTGAGGAATTTATACGTTTTATAACCGCGTGCACAAACAGGACAAGACGTTCATGATGCTTTTTATATTTGTGACTTTAAGAGAAGAAACATAAATCAGAATATTGAATCACTGCTTTGCACTTTTCATGGGGAGATTAGAAAGTTCAGAACAGTTACCTTCTTCAATGGATTTTTCTTCTTGCTCTTGTTTGCTCGTGCCTGAGCTCAGCTGGAGCCTCTCTGCAAAGCTTCGCTCCTGAAACAAACAAACAAACAAAAAAATCACATCTCAGCATCAAGAGTGAAATCACGTCAAAGCGTTCTCCGATGGGACCCCCAGTTCAGTTTGAACAGGAGCGTCTTCTGTTCAGCGTGTTGGCGCCCCCTGCAGGCAGCCCTTCACCTGACCACAGAGAACAGGTTTGTCTCACCCTGGGACACGGCCTCGGCTCTGCATCCTCGAAAACTATCAAAGGCTCTGAGCTCTGCGGGGATAAACACAGTGAGAGAGCTGAATCAGTCCAACTTTCAGAAAACAAACACGGCGACAGGTGTTGGTTTTACCTCGGGGGTGTCGGGTACGTCCTCTTCCTGCTGCACGAAGCCCGGCTGCAGCGTGGGCGGGAGGCTCTCTGGGAGAGGGTAGCCATTTTTGCGCGCCACAATCAGGTGAAAGGCGATGCAGAACTCTGTGAAGGTCAGCGCTCCGTCTCTGTCCACGTCGCTCAACTCCCTTCATTCAAAAAGAAAAGAGTAGCGAAATAAACAAACTGAACAATGGAACTGATGATAGATAACTGTTTGATCATCAGACACGTGATGATTAAACTAAGATGGTTTTATAGATTTTATAAAAACGCTGGTTGTAGCTTCAATATTTACTATTCAAACATGAGTGTATTTTTTTTATTCAGGAAAACAGGAAGGTTGTTTGAAACAAATCAACACAAAAATATTTTTATTTTTAAGAAAAACTGAAAGCAGTATGGCTCAAACTGCACAAAAACTGCCTAAAAAATAATGTGCCTTCACATTAAAAGAACTTAAAAACTTCACTTAAAAAAGATTTTCTGCTGAAGATTTTTTGATAAAAGCTTTTATCCATATTTGTTGGTTTAGTGCCAAGCTATGCCAATAAGCTGTAAGTTCAAGCTTTATATTCATTTACTATAAAACTGCTCTTTTGTCAAAACAAAACAAAAAAAAACAACAAACAGAAAAAATATAAAAGTCTGTACACCAAAAATGTCAAACATTTCATTCAAAATGGCAAATTTTTAGCTCATCTCTTTATTCAGTGAATTCAAAAAATTGATTCAATAACCCTCTGTATTTAAGTGCTCTTAAATACAAAATATTTTACTTCCAGGAATGTTGACATTTTTGATTTTGCTTGTGTGTGTTCGGGAAAGACAAGATAGTTAATGTCAGTAGTAGCTAAGATTCATGTCCCAGTCTGTGAGCAGTGACAGGTGAGCCACTGTTAAAGAATCATCCTTGCTGCTTTCTAAAACATCCTTACAGCATAAACACCTCCGATGTGCTGCCATTTACACCCAACTTCAGTGCAAATACTTTGATAAACAGCGAATGTATCCTTGTAATTGTAAACAGCAGCACAAGCAGAAATATAAAATTATTTGTCTGGTTTGTAAAATTCTGCATGGTCTTGCACCTCCTCCACTTGAAGCACCTGTCACGTTGTTGTCAGTAAGGACCACCAGAGGTACTGTAAGAGGAGATCTTGCTGTACCTTTTAGACGAAGTACATTTGGTCAGAATTCTTTTTCAGTAAAAGCTTCACTTGACTGGAATAAAATACCAGAAAGCATAAGAACCTGTGGATCCTTCAAATTATTCTCAAATACCTTAAAATCATGGCTCCTGGGTAATCAACTGTGTGGACACGGAAAATGGGATTCTTTTATCCATTTGGTATTTTTAAAGGGGACCTATTATGCAAAATTCACTTTTTAAAGGTTTTTTCACTCAACTTTGGGTATGTACTTCTTAAAAAACAGTCCTAGGACCAAAAAAATGCACCCAGGGGCATATTTACTGTAAGTAAATGTATTTTTAACGTATATTAATGACAAGTTTTATACTTCCGTCATTTTGTGATGTCACAAGCCGTACGACAACCCACCTGAACCTGTGTTCAGCCCCTTATCTAGCAACCCCCGGGTGAGACTCCTCCTCAGTATAAAGAGCCATCAGGGTTGTTATTGGGCAATGTGCAGCTCATTTCACAACAAGCCTCCAATAGGACAATGGGTAGAGTGTTGGACCAGAGAGTGGGAGACCAGGGTTTGAAACTGGCATGGACACAATTTAATTATTTATTTTCATTCGTTATGAACACATTTTCTCATGTACCTCTCCTGTTTAGCTGATTAAATCCTTGTTAAAGCCTATTTGTTCGAGTTTCTGAGGTA